TGCTTAAGGAATGAGTTGAGAATTATATAAAGATACATACACCATGTTTTTTCTAAGAATTGGTAGCAGAAAACAATAGAAAGCAGTATAAGGTTACAGTCATAATGAAATAGAAATGCAGAAGTAACAAAGGCTATTTATACAACCTAGGCTATATTTGAAATAAATAACTAAACAAGGATAAAGCAAACAGGAAGGGGCCTGAAACCAGCAAACAGGACAAAGAGAGGAAATAATAAATACATAAATAAATAGAGATGATAATAATGATAAACTACATTTTTGCTTGAACTTTTTAAAAGTATTATTATATATTTACAATGATTTATTTATTTATTTTAACCATAGGTGTGACTGTGATCGACAAGCCCTTATGACTGCTCTTGACACCTGCCGCTGATTCGGAGCAGAATGTATTCTCCTGCTGAATACTGATCTTGGATCTGTCTACGATGCCGATGCTTCGATGTGGGCAGCATTAGCACAGGCACTGACGAAGATGAAGAAAATGACAAGATGTGTTGTTGTTGAGGATGACGATGAAGATTTTTTGCACTTACCCAAACAGGGGGAGCTGTAACAAAACGGGGGGGATTGAACCCGCGTTTTAATCCCCTCCTGGCAGGACTGCCAGAGCGACTGGACAAACCAGTTTGAAGCGCCACTGTAACCACTGCAGTGTCATTGAAACGCTACTGATGTGAAGCTACTATTACTGCAAAGTTACTTTAACATTAGTAATGTTAACATGAACCAGCTCTAAGAGAGACCACTGATCTAATGCACGGGAGAGGGAGGCGGAGAACGACCATTCGGGACTGAAATCTTTGTTTCTCCTTTCGTTTTTTAAACCACCTGAAAGTGTGCGTCTGAGTGTGTGTATGTGTGTGTGTGCGCTTGCATTTGAAGGTGCTCCTTTGCTTGCACACGTGAGCATGTGTGTTTGTGTAGCATCTGAGTCTCTGTGTGGTGACGCCTGGTCCGACGCCGCATGAACGCACTCTGTCTGACCTCTGACCTTTTTCTACAGTGTTGCAGTGTGGCTGTTTTCAAGAGTGCCTGAATGTCAAATGACGCCCCCTGCTTCTTCTCCTTTTGTTTTAGTCTCGAGTACTGTTACTGGACAGAGCTCAGCTGGACTCTGCACCTCTGTTCTGGGATGAAGAAGTACATTTAAGAGCTGAGATCAGTGACGATGCGTCGGTTTGCGTTAGCCCGCATGAATTCAGAACGGCTACATGAGAAGCAGTTGTAGGAAATGTACATTTTCTTTAAAAAAATGAATAAAAAAACAGACTTTCGCTGGAATACAACTTTTCTGGTGAAGGAGAATACTCATTCACGTTGCCAAAAAAGTGACAGATAGAGGGGGAGAAGCTGTTTTGAGGTGAAAAACAGTTGGATGTATCAGTGCTTTACTGTCACCTGGCAGCCGTCTTTGCTGTGGTTGTAACCACTAATGACAACAACAAGCCTGAACTCACTGCATGGTCCCCAAGTCTAACCTCCTCTCCTTCAACTGTACCCTCCTCTCCCTCGGTGTAGCATACCCTATTAACTACTGCGCACCCTGACCGTACTATGAATGTGCCAATTTTAATATGTCTCTTTGTTTCTGTCTCTCTTTACTACTTTACTAATCTGTTCTCTCTTTCTGGAAAGTGACCAAACCTACTCTTGATTTTCTTTTTTCTTCAGTCTCTTTCTCTTCCATCTCCTCCTATATTGAAAAATTGCTATAATAGTAACTGGTATCGCTGTTTCTTGTCAGTGTATTGAGGAATGTCATGTAGGCTAATGACTTTGAAAATGTTTCATTACTTGTTTTATATTATCATTAATAAATATGCTTCTTGTATTTAAAGCTGTGAAATGATATAATCTGTTTTTAAAACTTTGCCAAATCAGTAAACATCGAAATGGAATTTGCTGTGTGTGATATTTTAATACCTGAACACTGATTCATTTATTACAGTTTCGTATGTCACCATTAGTGTTGAGTATTGTACTTTAATGCTCTGTGTCTGTCTTGTCAAGTAGCAAGAGTTTCACACTCTTAGTTAAAAAAAAAAGAAAAAGTTATAATTCTGCCTTTATTTATATAACATTTAATATTTGAGAACTTTGGCTTCTTCTGGGGTTGTTGAAAATGAGTAATTTAATCAGGCACTTTACATAAGTACAGGTTTTAGGTACTTTTACTTTAATTGAGTTCTTCCATTTAATGCTACTTCTATTTGATAACTATAGTTACTATGAGTACGATTTTACGTACTTACACTTACTGTGTGATCTTCTTATAAAATATGATGCATTTTCATTGATTAAGCAACCTAATATTATAGAAAGCAATCAGATACAACATTAAAATGCCACTTACAGTAATAATATATAATTCTTAGGTATTCGGACTACTTTTGAATCTTAAAGTACAGTGCAGAATATACTTCTGTACTTTTACGTAAGTATGGTACTGCTTCAGTACAGTACTGACCTTTTAAATTAAGGATTTGAATACTTGAATACTTTTACTGATGTTTTGTATAGTAAGGAATCAGAAAAATTATTCTAGTATTGCCATAGAAACTCACATGATATTAGCTCTAGCACTGAAACAAATTAACTTATACTCAGCCCTTATAGTCACAATTAAATGTAAGATATGACAAGAACTGAAGGACAACAAGGATAAATATGTATAAATACAGCAGAAAACACATATATATGTATATTATCAGTTTAGTAGCGCTTTAATTGAATGTAATACCTTCATTCATAAATTATTGAACTGGACCAACTTTAATACCACAATGTATTGGACCACATTTCCCCAGCTGACACTGGGAGTTTCAGTCTGTTATAATGTAAATTTAAGATGGAGGAGGACACACAACACGTATGACTCAAAGTTCTCAGACCATTTATTCCCTCACACAGTCGTTCAACGCCGCGATGGTTATGAAAGCCGAGCTCGCCTCTGATTGGCCGTTGCTGTAGAAACCTACAGTCTCACTATCATCACTCCATCCCGCGGACCAATCAGCGGCGCCGCTCGGCCCCCCGACGTCAGTCTCCTCTCCTCTCGGCCAATCAGGTTGCTCGATATTACTGTACTTCACCCGGCCAGCTGCCCCTCGCTCAGGTAGACGGGACGTACCGCGGAAAGGTGAGTGTTTACCGTACTTTTAACCGCAAATGAGGTATTTAGGTGAACTTTGTTAAAGTAAATCTTTATGTAGTGCAGCGAAGAATATATGTAGATGTTGGGTTGCGAGCTGTGAAATCTAAAGATTAATATTTGAGCTTGTTTCGTAATTTGAAGCAAACCTGTCGTTAATTAATAATAGAGAAACAGTGTCAGTGTCAGTGGGACGTTTCACCTGTTAAAGTCTCCTCTGTGGGAATGTAATGAAGTGTTTGGCAGCTCTATGAGTGTTTATTGTCTTATTGGACTAACAGTGTGTCAGCAGTGTGATTCTGTATGTTTCTGTATAGATTTTATGATTCAAATACTATTTATTGAAGCCGTATGCACATGTTATACAATAGTATGCCATATAAAAGATCAAAAAACATTAGCACCTGTAAAATGCATAAATATTAACAGAGAGATGTGGTAATTATACGTGCAGCAGAATCTTTAGATTTGTTTAAAGTTATAATCTCTTAAAGTACATTACATTTTAGTAAGTTTATGTATTTTAGAAGTATATTGTCTTTAAATTCTGCAGAGGTGGAGCATTACATTTAGGTAGCTTATTGTACTTTCCCTGGTTATTTCCATGATGTGCTACTTTTTATTTTTAGACTAGCTGTAACATTAAAATGCTGCTTATAAGTTAATGCACTGATAATAATATAATGATGTGATATATAACACTGTTAAAAGAGGCCATTTTGCTTTATACGTTTAACTTTTGATACCTGAAATATATTTTGCTTCACACACACTACTTCACTTTTATTTAAGGTACATTTTGAAATTAATATAAAAGTTGTTTCTTGGTAATCAATATAATTTATCACAACTGTAAAAGGAGCACACAGGAAAAATAATATGTTGTGATGAGGACACATTCTAATGACTTAGATCCTGCTGAGAACTGCACATGTAACACTGTGTTCCTGTTTTCCAGTCTTCTCTCCGGACCTGCACTCACCTTGCGTTGTCCATCATGGCGGTGAACGGCACAGCAGACATCTTGAGCTCCGCCTACCTGGCGGTGGAGTACGTAGATGCAGTGTTGCCAGAAAACCCCTTCCAGCCCTCCCTGAAACATGCCTGGGGCTACATGCTGGACAACTACACCAAGTTCCAGATCGCCACCTGGGGGTCGCTCATCGTCCATGAGTTCATCTATTTCCTGTTCTGCCTGCCGGGTTTCCTCTTCCAGTTCATGCCCTTCATGCAGAAATACAAGATCCAACAGGTTTGTGCGGGTTTTTGGTTGTTATGACTTTATTTAAGTCCCATTTCCTGTCACTCTACAGCTGTCTCTGTCAATTAAAGGCACTAAAAGCCCCCCAAACATAGACCTTCTGTGTGTGCGTTGTGTGCAGGACAAGCCGGAGACCTGGGAGAAACAGTGGAGATGTTTCAAGATGCTGCTGTTCAACCATTTCTGTATCCAGCTGCCTTTGATCTGTGGGACTTACTACTTCACCGAGTACTTCAACATCCCTTATGACTGGGACTCCATGCCACGCTGGTCAGTGGAAGTGCAATAAACACGTCACATTCAAAGTACCCTAGACATAGACTAGACAGTAATACTTTTAGCTTTTTTCTCAAGTTAAATGTTAAATCCATGCCCAGGCTAACTGTGATGACGGTAGAAAGGTGACATTTGTTGACAGAAAACGGATTTTCTTTTCTTTTTAGAAACTGTAGCTCTGCATAGCCCTAAAATTAACGACACAGAGCTCTCCTGCAGAGATCACTCATCATAAATAGACTTTTTTCCTGCCCTGTGATGCCTCCATCAGTCTGCTTTAGAACAGGACATACATGCATGTGATTGATACAAATCTGCTTCCCACGTAAAACTGTTAGTTTAAACTACAACATGCTTTTAATCATTCATTTGAACTACAGAATATACACATACATATAATAATAATATCAGTACATGTATTTATGTAGCAGTTTCTTGCCCATACAGGGTGTGCATGATGATAATGTATGTTTGTGTCTCTTGTTGTATTTGGTCATCCATTGTGGGATAAAAAAAAGATATTTACAATTGAATGGATTACTCCCTGAAATGACTTTTTGTTACACGTGCTGCATTTATCAGAGGATCCTCAGTGGGATCCATCAGTCAGATCTGTTGGTTGGTATAACTTTCTAATGATGACCCCCCCCCGTCTCCTGCTCTCTCCTCCTTGCAGGCCGTACGTCGTGGCTCAGTGCTTCGGCTGTGCTGTTGTTGAAGATACCTGGCACTACTTCCTGCACCGCCTGCTGCATCACCGCAGGATCTACAAATACATCCACAAAGTCCACCACGAGTTCACCGTGAGTAAAACATGCACATGATGAGATAAATAAACAGTCTGGTAGCTCTCTTTACAGTAGAGTTACTCATTAATCATGACCTTGCACCCAACACATGACCGCACACACATAAACATAACAGTGTCCCTGCCGTCCCTCAGGCTCCGTTCGGCATGCAGGCAGAATACGCTCATCCTGCTGAGACTCTCATCCTCGGTGCTGGTTTCTTCATCGGCATCATGATCTTCTGTAACCACGTGTTCTTCCTGTGGGCCTGGGTGTCCTTCCGCCTGCTGGAGACCATTGATGTCCACAGGTAGGACACAACAACGGTTGTTTCCTTCCCCCTCTCTCTGCTACGTTAGACAATTCATTGCTATAGCTCTGATGAGAGCAGAATATAAAATCAGCTCTGGAGGAAGAGAGGAGCAGTTACATCACTGATGACAATAAACAGTGAGACTGATAGTTACATGAGAAGCTGCACGTTCTCCTGTTAACTGTGTCAGTAACTTGTGAGTTCGGCCACTAGAGGGCCACAGAGAACACCAGATACGATCATATTATTAGGTGACAGAACTCCTTTCTCTTGAGAGTCTCATCTCGACTTATTAATTATAATATATGAATAATATATGAATGAATGAATATTTTGCTATTATTTTTGGATTACATACATACATTTATACTAAAGACTTACATACACATACACAAAAAGAGACTCCACCAGACACGAGGCAGGAGGTGAATAATACAGGTTGATTAGGCAAGCATGTTTTTTTTATCTTTGTTTAAATGCCTTTTAAAACACATTATTTTATACTTGCCTGTTCTTTAATTATTTTATGTTTCTTGTCTTTTGTTATGTTCTTACTTACTTACTTTCATTTTAAATATAATGTAATCAAATTTAAAAGAATTAATTGAATTTTATTTTATTTATTTTCCTGGTTCTGTCGTTTTGTAAAGTAGATTGCAGCTTGCTATTAAAAATTATCTAAAAATAATGTTTTATTCATTGTTATTTTAGGTTAAATAACATACTTAATCTAGATTACACTATTTTAGTATTTTAGTATTTTCTATTATTAATAAAATAATCCTTTAATCACAGATAAAATATACAACATGTATAACTTGCAGCAGTTCTAAAAAGGACAACACGGTTAGCTCAGTGGGTAGAGCTGGCGACCCATGTACCAAGGCTGAGTCCTTGCTGCAGCGGCCGCGCAGGGTTCGAATCCGACCTGTGGTCCTTTACTGTGTGTCATCCCCTCTCTCTGCCCCCCTGCCCTTCTGTCTCCAGCTGTCCTATCAAATCAAGTCATAAAAGCAAAAAAAAACATGAATAATTCCTCCATTTTCCAGACTTTGCCTTAATTTACACAATTTCCTCTTGTAATCATTAAGCTTTTTTTTGCCTTTTTTGCAGTTCGGTCCTCTAAGATAAAATTAAAAAATGTAATTTTAGCGAACAGTGCAACAATATTAAACACAAGAGAGCTAAGTCATCAAGTGTTATTGTTTGTGAGAACGTACATGATCTTATAACCAACCACTAGAGAGGAACACGAGGCAAGGACCAACATAAATGCAATCCTATCTTAAGTATCACCATTACAACAACATAATTATTAATAATTTCTAATACCCCATCTGAAAAACTTTAGCCTCGTTGGAGGGATCTTTGTCATTGACTCTTAACAAAACAAAGATTGGTGATTTATTTTAATGGATATCTGACATTCTTACATTTTTTCTTGATCTCTCTCAGTGGCTACGACATCCCTCTGAACCCGCTCCACCTGATCCCGTTCTACGCCGGCACCCGTTTCCACGACTTCCACCACATGAACTTTGTTGGGAACTACGCCTCCACCTTCACCTGGTGGGACAAACTGCTGGGGACGGACAACCAGTACAACAAGTACATGCACAAACAGGAAGACAAGAAGGAGCAGTAAACCACTCGTGCCTCAACTGGTCCGTCAGCAGGAGGGTGGAAGAGGCAGTGAGTTGTACAGACTCACAGGGAGCACACCAACAGTGTCCTCTCGGTACACCTAATGAAACACACCCACACACTAAAGGTGTACTTTAAACGAATCAGGACTACTGTGGTTTGATTCTGAATTGGACTACATGTTGACTTCGGTCCGTCTTCTGTGCCTTTCTGCAAAAAGAAGTATTGTTGTCTGCTTCTATCAACAGCTGTCGGCTGAATAAAAACCATCAACATCCTCATTTTTGATTTGCTGCTTTGCTCACTGAATGAAAAAAAAGTTGTACTATACGACTCTCTTGTGAAATGCTTCCGTATACCTCTGAATGTCTGAGCACTTTAGCGCTTCCCCCTTGAGTTAAACTGAGTCACAGTGACATTTGTGTTACAGCTGCAGTCGGTGGGAACCGTAGAAACTCAGTGCCGAACAAGTTGTTTGAAGGTGTTGCACGCCCATGTAGATTTTTTTAAGGGAAGGGATTGGCTCATAAGGCACTTATAAGTTGTTTAAGCCTATTTTGTTTAAGACTGTAAGAATAAATACATTTTGATTTTACAAAAAAACACTTTGAAAATGTTTTGTTTTTTCTGTTTTTGTCATATTAGAATTAAAATGTATGAAGAAATTCAAACAGGAGTTTGGTTGTGTTGATTTTTTTTGACAGAATTGGGAATTTTGTTACAAAAACGAACTTCAGGCTTTTAAAATAATGATCTACATATATCTATATGTGTTTCTGCATTGATAAAATAATATACATTATTGACACATGAACACATTTCTCACTGACAGTTTCTGTTTAAGATTAACATCACAGATCTGAATCTTCTCAGTAAGCGTGTTCCTCTGTTAATGGGGAAGTGAATGATTCGGTGCATGTACTGGAGGTTTTCTCCATCTCTCTGCTGCACTGTGGACACACCCCTACTGCCCCATCCAGCACACACAGCTGTAGTCAAGTAAGCCAGCAGCAGGTACCAAACAGGAAGTGAGGCAGGTTGTACATTACAGAACAAAACTGAGTTAGTAGAAACAAAAACTGAAGGGTTGAAACTGACAATTATTTTTATTATTGGTAAATATGTTGCTTATTTTTCTGATTAATGACTGTTGAGTCCATGCAATATTGGAAAATAGAGAAAAATACCATCACAATTTGCTGGAGCCAACAGTCCAAAGCCTTAAAGCTTTTGATTTAAAGTGACACAAAACATGTCATTTTTCTTGGTAAATAGGAATAACTCATAATCAAAATAGTTGATAATTAATTTTCTGTTCATTGACTTTATTAATTGATTGTTGCAGCATAGACTGAACATGTTAATTTGAAAATAAAGGCTTGGTCTTTATAGCCTACCCTCCTTTGGTAGGATTTAAACTGTTATAAAAATCTTAAAAGAAATCCTATTTTAAGCAAATAATCCAGCATAGTTAGGCAATATCAAGAATATTAAATAAGAAAATAAAACAGTATCAGATAAATATATAAATGAATTATATAACCAACCATGAAATTGTGAAATAAACTAATAAAAAGTGAACACCATTTGTTATGAAGTGTTATTTCTTCCTGCTTTCACAATGATACAGTTTACTTTAAGTCAGTTCAAAGTTTGTTGTTTTCCCCGGTGACCTTTTTATTTCATAACGCCAATATTCACCACCGTCTGGGCAGAGCCGGTTATGTGTTGTTTGAATGAAATAAACTCTGATATTGCGAAAGAATCAGGAAATAACAAATCCATAATCATACACATTTATTTTTAACAAGGATTTATGTCTTTATTTGGGTATATCTTGCTTCAGACATCCTTAAGAGTTAAATCTATGGCTTTATATGTGAAAACTATGAAACAAACACCTTCTGCTTTTCATCTGAGAGGGAGAAAAAAAGGTATTTATTTTGAAAATGTTATCCGGATGCACTAATCCTCTGTCGGGCTTTACACGGAGGGAGTCTGCGCTCAGGTACAGCAGCGCATCACACTCAGATAGAGGGAGAGAGAAAGAGGATGAGCTGCACAGGGAGAAGAATATTTAAACCTAAAAGGCGGAGGGCTGCAGCACAAGAGATAGAGGCTTGGGACCGAGGCGCAGGCAGACAGACAGACAGGGGCTTATAGGGGAAGAAAGTCGGTAGTTTTATTCGGGGCCGCGGCGGTCGCCCTGGCCAGCGCGGCCGGCACCGAGAGTGGAGAGATCTCCTTCGAGTACCACCGTTACGAGGAGCTGCGGAAGGCGCTGGTGTCGGTGTGGCTGCAGTGCCCGACCATCACCCGCATCTACACCATCGGGGAGAGCTTCGAGGGCCGCGAGCTGCTGGTGCTGGAGATGACCGACAACCCCGGGACGCACGAGCCTGGTCAGTTTTTACGCATACGTAAAGTCTTACTTCATAATGCGGTGAATATATGCACTCCCTCCCTCCCTCCCCGTCCCGCTCCCTTTGTCCCCGCTTTTCTTCACGTTTAGTTACCCACCACCGCACACTGTGATAACACAAACACATCACGCACTATTGCGCATACAGCACTGCTCTTAAGTCTGTGTGCGGTGCGGTTAGACAGAGTCGACCTGCGCAGGGAGGAGGGGAGGGGAGGATGCGAGGAGCGCAAGACAGGTGTGTTTGCGCTGCGCGTAAAAAAGCGGCGAGCGCAGGGGCCTGCCGCATCACTTCAGAGGACTCTAGATGATAGATTGTGGGATCAGCCACATAAGGCCGCCATTTTGCTGGTTGATAAGGATCTCTTCGTGCTCATCCCGAGTCGTGATTCTTCAGACATCCCGAAGACGGCGGCGGATTACGCCACGGGCTCACTGGGCTGCGTTTTGAATTAACAATCAAATCAAACGCAGATGTATAAGCAGTGTTGGCAGAGAAAGGAATTCAGGCATAGCTTTCAGTGGAGGAGGCTTCTGACTGAATATTAAATGAACCTGTGGGTCCTAATGGGGTTGGGAGGAGTTGGGATGATCCTGGGTTGTGTCTTGACTTCCCAGCATCCCCATCACTGTCCTTTACACTGGAGGAAACCAAAGAGTAGAAGATGTGATGAGACACACAGTTTCCACACCAGCTACATGAACATACAAACATGGGCAACCACCACACCTTCTGTTTCTAAAGTCAAGCCTGAGTAGAGGAGAAATCCACATAGAGAGTATTTCTGGAGTCCAGCATCACCTTGAATATGTATCTGATGGTTGGAGTATCGGCCATGAAACAGCAGGAGTAGAAAACATTAAATCAGTCACGCTGTTAAAAACCTGGGCCTCAAACGGTTTTTGGCAATGTAGGATGTGGTGGTTTGTGTGATGGAGGCACTAAGAGAGAGAGAGAGAGACATTTTCTGGAGTGTTCCTTTACTCCTTCCCTAATGTTTTTATTATTATCTCAGGCTGGAATTAAATCACACTATACCCACTTCAATATTATAGATTTAGCTACGTATGTTGATAAAAGTTGTTGAGACTGTACACCAGGGACAACGATGGAAATAATCCCAGGACTTCATCATTCAATTCCTCATAAAAGCCTATGTAGTTACTAAACCAAACTAAATTTACCCAAGTGGCCATTTTTAACCCTTTAAAACCAAAACAAACTGCATCGCCCAGAAAAAAACATACGTACTGTAAGCGTTAAAAAAAGATACATGGTGAAAGCTCAGTGTGTTGGCACCTATAGAGCATTAATGCAACGTTAAAAGATTTAGCCTAGTGCATTTAACCTGTAATGAACGTCTGGGAACAGGTCAGTGATTCCTGTAAACAGGTGATTTAACAGTCACATACTGCAGGAAGTGATTAATTTCTTCCATGTAATCCTGAAACCAAGCGTGCAAAGAAAAACAAACCCCTAACCCTGTAATTACGGTATATATAGTTTACAGTCTAGTTTGTGGTGTTTCAACTATATGTCCCATGTAGCATTTGTGTGTAAAGGTGTATTTTCTTTCTCTGGGTGTATTTGGTCTTAACGGTGCACCACAGGGTTTTTGTGTGTTTTGCAGCTCGCGTTGGTCACAGGGTCTAATACGTACGTACTCAATAAGCCTGTAATAGTCTGGTGGGTGCGCACAGGCATGAGTCACAGTAGCGCTGTGGAGTCCTTATTACTACCAGATGAGTTTCCAAGCCGCTGCTTAACCAACAGGGGCAGCACCTCCCACCCCTCCCCTTCTCCCCACCTATCCCTCTCCTCTCCCTCCACCTCTGTTGAGCAAAACATCACACAGCAAGAAGGAGGTGGATGAAACACAGAGCGAGAGGAAACAGGGAGAAGAGCTCCAGAGACTGATGGAGTGAAGGAGAGTGAGGGGACAAATAGATGATGGTTCCAGTATCAGGGGAAGAAATGATGAGCAATTTTTCAGGCTTCCCTCTGAGGTGCATTACCAATATTTTATCTGACCCTGCGATGTGTGACAAACTCTTAAGGTGGAGCCGAAATAGCTGTTGCCGGGGCAACAGATCGGCTTAGTGCACTGAGCTGACTGGCAGCTCGTGGTTGGCTGGCCGTCTGGTTTCCGGAGGACAACGGTCCTGAGCTCATGCATCTGTCAGCAAGCAGCCATCTGTCATACGCTGTGGCACAGGAACTGCCTGTATAGCCAAGATTGTAAACACACTGGTTACATATTAATATACTGTGTGTGTGTGTGTGCAGTAACTGAGTACATTTACTCAAGTAAGCACCTATAATCATTATTTTTAATTTGTAATTGATCACATCTTGTATGTGAAATGGGTCAATAGTAGTAATAAACCCACAGAGAATTATTAGAAACCCTGCAGCTCTGTGGTTCTCGGTAGAACCTTTAAACCTTTCTGTTTTTGGTTTTATGGCCTGCTAAAAGCATCCTGTTCTGGTTCACTCTCACTGCTCTCATTAGCGTTACTTCTAGTAGCAGCAGGCAGCTGTTTTCTGCTGCTGGTTACCGTGCCTGTCCAGCACCAAACAGCAAACCCAATTAAGCGACTAGCTGGTGAAGAAAGTGGAACATAGGAGCTAATAATGGACTTATATTTGCCAGGTAGACACAAGCATGACTCCAAATGTTCACCATATCAATGCATATTCACTCTCTAGCGAAGACCTGAATGATTGGTTTGATACCACTTTCCTCTACGGTGTCTCTTTGTCTGGCCTGTTAGCTTAGTTTAGCGCAAAGACTGGAAAGGGATGGAAACAGCTGCCTGTCTCTGTCCTACGTTAACAAAATATATCTACCAGCAGCTCTAATTCTCACTATTAACAAAAATAAATTGTAGAAAAACAAAGCTTGCCATTTTACAAAATGTTATATGGTGTACTATATCTTGACCAGGCACAGTAACCTCCTGAAGTCTTAGCTGGTTGACAGGCAACATGAGATATTACGTTAATCATTGACAGTATATAGGTGTTAATTTGTGAGCTAAAGAGCTAACTGTTTCCCCTTGTTTCCAGTGTTTGTGCTAAGCTAACTCAACGGACATTAGAGCATATGTTCTCATCTAACTCTCCACCAGAGAGCTAATAAGTATAAAAATTAAAATGTACTTTTTACTCCATTACATGTATGTGATGCTTACTACTAACTTTACAGATTACATTTTACATTCAAAATACAAATATTATGATATATAATTACTGCAGATTAAACAACAGTATTTAAAGTAGTTAATTGCAGCCTACACTTTAACACATCTATGATAAAATTCCACGATATAATATAACATATAACTCCATCAGGGGCCATTCGGATGTGTACTGAGTATTTTTATTAGTAGTTTTATAGTGTGGTATTGGTACTTCTACTTAGGTAAAGGATTTAAATCACCATTAAACATGGGCGACCTGTTTTTTCATTCAAAGGACGTGTTTACTTCTTGCAGCTGGCTCATATTTGAGTGTACAAGAGCTTAAAAGAGGGGTTTCTCTTCAGTGAAATGGGCTCCAGCTAAACTCTTTTGACTCTCATGTCTGGAACTATTTACAAGGCTTATATGTATGGGGGAGAAACTCTATCTTCTAATGGGTTTTGGCTTTGTCTGAAGGTGAAAAAAAATCATGTCAGTATGAGGCACTGCTTCTTCCAATATGCTGTAGACCATACATGTGGCGGACTGTTTTATCAGACAGCACAGGAAGTATGTAATCCCCAGTGAGCACGCACACAGATGCCCAGTTAAAGTGTAAAGACACACTGCTGGATATGGTTGTATCAGATGACATATGCCTGCTGTCCCTGGCATATTGAATATAAAGTGAATCACAGGTAGTGTACAATAATAATAGTGCACAATGGAGGAGAATGGAGTGTAAACTGAGTGCATTGTTTGGACATTTTAGCTGCGAGGAGCAGCAGAGATAGCAAAAACAGCTGAGAAGAGAAGGAGTTGATGAAATACGGAGATAAAAAAGAAAGGAATGATGATTGAGAAAACGGGAAATGTAACAGGAGCGCAAGGGTGACGAGGGAGAAGGAGAGGGGTGGGCCAAAGAATGTAGAGGGAATAAGGGAGAGGCAGAAACGGAAGGAGGATGAGAGAAAGGCCAAGGCATCAGCCAGAGGTCATTTATTATACATCAGACACCCGAATGCACTGTTCCTCCTTCTCCCCCTCCTCCTCCTCCTCCTCCTCATCCTCATCCTCATCCTTGCCGATTCGCGTTCGCTGTCTATCTTTCTGTTTTTTGATTTTTCTTTCTCTCCCTGCAGTTTATTTTTGTGTGGTTTGCACGCCTCGTATTCTGCATCTCAACATGCTGCATTACGTCACTAAATGTTGATGCTGTGTATTGGTCAATGGCCATACAAGCAGTAGACAGCCAGAGTCCCACCTCCTTTCATCTCTTCTACTCGCTTCCTGTGGGATTTTCATCTACAAGGATTCTTTCATTCTTCTTTTCTGAAAAAGCTGAAACTAGCTCACTCTGAGTTGTAGGATTTAAACAGTTTATAACAGCAGTTATTGTCTCCCACAAAGCTACAAATGGCTAAGAATCATGGCACGTGATGTTGTTAAGCATGAACATGGTTGTTTTATCTTAGTTAAATCTAAGAGGTACTCAAATTATCAACCAGTACATACACTGCATTAATGTAGAAATCTATGGACGTCTCCTTTATGAGTATTAGAGCTGAAATATCAGTTCACAGAAAATTAATCAGCAAATATTTTGTTAATCTATTAATTGTTTTAGGTCAGCTTGTTGGTTTATCGGACAAAAGAAGACATATAAAGACGTCACCTTGCAAACTTTTCACAATTTTCTGACTTTACATCAAACTATTTTATATACCAAATAATTAACCAGTTAATTAAGACAATAATCTGCAGTTTAATTGATAATACAAATAATCATGAGTTAAAGCACAAGTAAATAATAAAAAAATACACTAGTAGGACAACACAACAGGTGTATTCTCTTAAAATAATTTGGCTGTCTGTACAACTATATGAGCATTTTTATCATATGTATATTTTTTATTTGACCTATTTTGTTGCTCTATTTACGACACAGCTGTCATTCAGAGCTCACAAACTGCTTGTACACGACTGTGCGTGTGTGTGAGTATACGAAGACAAGACAAGCAGACAGAGGCAGAGCGAGAGTGTGTTTACTCAACCTCCCTAAGCACCTGCCGTGTCAGGGTTGTCACGACGACTGAGAGCACTCTAATGTGGTGCTTCCCTAATGACGTTGCAGCGGCAGTCATTATTACGTAGTCACCTTGGAGACCGTATTGATCACCTGCTAGACGCTTTTGATAACTCCTGACAAAGCACAGGATGATGCAGGGGGTTTGTTAGCCTCAGATGTGTTTTTATCAACCTGTGGAGAGCTGGAGTCAGTTTAAGGGACGGGCGGTGCCACGTCACACTTATTCAGAGGTCGTCTACACTACAATGATGCAACCCCCTTTTTATAATTTTTTCTATCAGTTGATCAGTAAAAAAAAAAAAAAAATGATTTGCTAGTTTTCTCTGTTCATATCATTAAATATATTTTGGTTTTTGGCTGTTGTTCGGACACAACAAGACATTTCAAGAACTTGGAAACTGTGTGGAGTGAAAATCTCATTTTCTGACATTTATGGTCTAAACAATGAACCAGTTCATTAGTTAGTTGCAGTCAAAAAATGACAGCTTCTTCTACAATTTGGAGAACACATAATATATATCACATATCTGCCTGCCTCTATTTTTGGGTACTTGCAGTAATTAGTGTGCAGACTACCCCTCCGTCTTCTTCGTATGCTCCTCTACCTGTAGCTGATTTGGGCTGGATGTGCACACTGTCCATCATATTGGCCTTGAAGGTGCAAATACTACCATTTGTGTACATTTAGCACATATGAAATCTGTTAACTTAACTGTTTCTAAAACACAAATGGCAAACAGTTATCATACTTTGGTTGTACATTTCAAATCTGCCCAAATGTGAAGTTATCAATGGCGTCTTACATACATGCGCTTTTCCTTTCACTTTGAGTGTGTGCATGAGATAATAAAAGCTCAGCAAGGTGCAGTCAAACAGTTTGACAGAGAGAAGACTAATAAATTGAGAAAAAAAAAAATTATATGTCACAGTCGGTTCGAGAGGAGAAAGGACACTTGGGTTCAGTCCACCCACACAGTGATGTGTCATGCTTGCCTTTGAGTAAAAATGCATCGTGTGATCAAAAATGTGTGCGTGTATATGTGTGTGAAAAGAGTAAACAGAGCTCTTACATAAGCGTGAGTTAGCAAAAACGATATTAATATGAAATAATTTATGCAGTGAAATATAATTAACCCTCCCTCCCGCCTACCCTGCTTCTGCACCTTAAACAAAACTCACCCTAACACATCTTAAACTCATCAATACCTACATGTGTAAAGGAAAAGGTCTCCAGATACTGAGCATCTGTGTAATAGCTTGAATCATAGTAACTCATTTAGACATAGAGTTCAAAGTGTGTGTGTGTGTGTGTGTGTGTGTGCGTGAACGTGTGAGTGTATGTGTTTGACAGCTTTGTAGAAGCCTGTAAAAACTATTCAACAACGTCAGGACAGAAAGAGTTAATTGCAGTCTTGAAATCATTAGTAGCAACTCAGAGAGGAACCAGATTTGAGCGTTTAAAAATAACCTGACTACCAGATGTGTGTTGGGCGGTTTGTGTGTGTGTGTGTG